ATTATAGCTGCTCTAATATATTTAAGATTTTTTTTTTCCATATTTATTTTATTGGTTATATTGGTATATCACCTGTTATGTGGATAGTAAAGGGAAGGGAAAAGGGATTTATTGCTTTCCTTGCACATCTCATCCCTTTTTCTTTCTATGATTCCCTAGAAATCACAATTTACCAGAGAGGGAAGGCTAGTATTGAAAATGCTTAGTGACATATGTGTTATATTTCTAGCCTCCTGTTGCAAACTTCACTACAGCATCTTATTGTTTTTAATATATTGCATTTATTGTTTTTTTTACACTGCTTAGCACCATAACAACTGACATTCACACAGTGTTAGTCGAGTTTGAGTCACTGTGTTCCTGTGGGACACTGAAGTGGTATCACAATTTTACAGACGGGAACTGGGGACAGCGAGAAGAATAGGAAAGACAGTAATTCTAATAAAGCTTGAAATTTCTATACAAAGTGGCACTGATATTGAACTGAAACAGATCTATTAACTCTGTTTTTTGTTTTCTTAAGGAGAAAAAGTCTTGCCCATACTCACAGAAAATCCATGGCACAGTTTAAAGCAAGTTTCAGATTCTCTTAGTCAATGCTTTCCCCATGATTTTCTCTCTGAAATCTTTTTAACAAAGTTAAGAACTATTTTTCTAATTCCATTAATTCTCTTTGGAAGGTTCAGTTAAACCACCAGTGTGGTTGTTTTGTTCTATTTTATCCATTTTATCATGCAGTCGTGGCATTGCACTGAAATTAGGGAAAGCGATTTTCCTCTAATGCTACACATCACAGAGATTAGATCTGTAGCAGCAGAACGGTCCTGGGTCAGTTCTCTTGCCCTGAGTACAAGTAGCATGGCACAGGTTAAAACACATCTGTTTAGTCAAAATCTCTTCCTTCTCCCCAGATTRGTCCTCATCCATATTGACTACATGAGAGATGAGTGCCTGTGTTCTGGCGAGCTGTATCTCTCTGTGTCTCTCGTGACAACGGCCTTCTCCCCATCTGAGGCAGGTTTGAACTTGAGACCCTACTTCAAACTGCTATCTGATAGTAGGTCTTTGTCTTACCAGCTGCATAACACCAAATCAAGCTACTAGTTATAATGAGATATATTCTCCTATGTAATGGAGACACCTGTAAACCAGGTGTCCAGGTGCCCATCGTGCAAGACCACATGGGGCAGGACTGCTCTAGGAATGCCCACTAGGTCTCATCCGAAGGCCACCACGTTAAGGAGTAGGGGAGGTCACCCAGAGCTCTCACCCCAAGCAATTTGTCTGCAGAGACTTATTTATATGCCCATGAAGTACAGGCAAATATTGAAAAGAGTTTTGCCAGTCTCAGATATAACAAAATATTRGGACTGCGTTTGCTGACTGGTAATGAGGAGGTAGTCTAGGTCCCTCAGTAACTTAAGCCTTAAGGTACCAGGATACAGAATGGGAGCCTATCTGTTGATATACCCATCTGTTGAATGTGAGTAATATTTTATAGGACCATTGCAAGAAAATGTGTGCTTAAGACTCTGTACTATTATGGTGACARGGACTGAGAAGTACACTGAATAGATATTCAAATATAATGATACATAGATACTGAAAAGTAACAAAAACACGTAGTACAATTATTGGAATAAAAGATAATGTGCTATACTAAAGGAATTCTTTTGCTCCAGCGTGATATCACTTCTGAGGATAGATTTACATAAAGAAGTTACCATAATTTATTTATTATGCTTTACAATAGACGATAAGGGCAGCTTAGATGATTGGGCAGCTATCTGTCCTCTGTTAAGAAAGAAAAGGGAAGGCAGGGGTGGGAGGCTCAGATATTTTGTGAGCCTAAGGAACATAAATATGTGATCTAAATTTGAGTTTTTCTTAAATGTTCAGAAAATTTGCTTTTCTTCTATTTAAATAACAAATTATATATTTTACTTATAAGCAGAGTGTCTGCATTGTTGTTTTAAAGGCAAAGATGTTATTTGTTCTTGCAAGATCCAATGCTGAAACATGTTAACACTAAATAGAATGTATTTGCAAGCAAGGATAATAGAAGTGCAAGAAGTTCCTTTAGTTTCTCAAAACATTTTCTGTTATGCTTGTATTACATAAATTTATTAAGAGATCCACAAAAAAAAAATAGATCAACATATCTTGTTTCTTTGAGAGAGGAAAAATGCCATAATCTGAAATCTAACTTCCTTTTTAAATAAAGTTGAGTGGAAAAATTTTATTCTTGTAATAGAAATTTTTGTGACAACAGAGCATAAGTTTTATTATTCCATTTCGAATCAAATGTCAGAAAAATATCCTAATTTCCTAAAACAAGAAATAATAATATTGAAAGAGAACAGCAAAATATCAAATTAGTAAAACTTACAAGTGGCACTTAGGCAGTATGTAGCTGTACACATACAAGGGCAAATCCTGAGTTGTAACAAATTGTTGTTTTCCTGTCAAGGTGGATCATTACATTCTATTTTATAGATGAGAGATTTGAATCAGATTTATCTGTGTAAGCATGAGGAATAGCATTTTGGGGATACTGGTGTTATGGCTCTTCTGGCTAGGAATTGGCAAGAGTAGAATTTGATTTTATCTGTTTGGACTGTCCAACAAAATTTCWTTTCCATGGAAACCAGCAGCATGTGAAAGAGAGTCATGGGATACCTGATGCCGAGTGAGAGGGACCTAAATACCACCTAAATCTTTTCCCAGATAGTTAGGACTTCATTAGTGTACACATGCAGATACAGAAACTGGGAAATACTGCTGCTCCCMCTGTCAGGCCATAGCAGTGTTACTGGTGGCAGGCCTTGTGCAAGTCAGTGCCAGAATGTGCATTTGTAATTGCAAGCTAAGGGCTATTTCCTCCAGGCCGTGGTCCTTCTCCCTGTAGACATGAAGGTATTTCCAATTGGTTAAGACTTAAGCATTTGTTATGAAAAGCTAAAAAGACTGCAGTCATTAAAAAGGATGAGCTTTCTTTTTTTTTTTTTTTTTTTTTTTTTTTTTRRTYTGTAGAAATAAGCACACAGATGAAATGATATTCTTAAAAGAAGCATTTCTTCAATAAAGGTAAATATTCCAAAAAGTTAAAAACAACAAAATGATTTTTTTTAAAAAATTATTTAAGATTTTTCTTCAAGCATGAAAAACAGAACGATTATAAATGTACTAAAATTAAGAATCAGTATCAAAGAAGCTCTCTGAATGAATGAATAAATCACCAGAAGACACATCTGAAAAATGATAAGACATCTGAGGAATCTGACCACTGTGTTAACATCTGACCTGTGTCCTGACTAGAAATTGCTTCTGACATGCCAAAGTTGGATACTGGGATTTTTTGTTCCTGTGCTGATACAGTCCATTATAAATACTCCATTATTTTCGAAAAAGAGTGATGAAGCTGTCATCCAAGGGACTGGTACAACATTAGAAAATATGTCCTTTATCATTTGTAAACTTCATTCACGTTGATGTTTCAGAACTTTTTTGTTTTACCAATGTTTGAGTCCTTTTGTGAGCTGGAGGATAAAAGTTTCTGCTTAAAGATAGGAGAAAAGCATCGGTGTGTGCATGTCAGTGTGTGTGACATGCATGAAAGGAATGCATCTCTCATATCAACAATAAACTCATTACTAAAATTACAGCTAAAGTTCTGTTTTGAAAACATCTGTAAGATATTAACATATATATATTTATAAGTAATAAACAGTATCTGAGTATCTCAATATCTTAAAATAAGCTCAGTTGCCTATACATAGGTATATAGAGCAATTTACAGTGTCTTTTTTAGACTATCTGAGCTACCTGATAGGCATACACTTGTAGGCAGACTTCTTCCACACCCATACTGCATGATGCAGGAACTCTTTATATGAACACGAGAGAGAGAGAGAGAGAGACAAGATATTCCACAAGGTCTCAAAAGATGCCTACTAGTGCCCATCAGTCTAGCATATAATTTTCTCCCTATCTTATCTTCATTAGATATACTCTGTATACTTTCCATCTGTCTCCCAATTAAATTTGGATTCAATCATTTGCATCACTGCATGCCTGCACAATTTGGAAGAAGAGAACAGAGGCTCAGTATGTGTGTCCTCCGGAATGTTGGTCTTTCAGTTTACCTAAGTCAAGTGGTAAGCCCTCCCTTGGTGCGTCTACATTCTAGCAGAACAGTATATTCATTGCTCCCCTAAAGAATCCACAGTGAAGGCCTACTGTCCTGTTCTGTGGACACACCTTCCTGCTATGCACAAAAGGACACAAATACTTAATGTTTTGAAGGGAGTCAACGGGAATGACAAAATAGGGAAGTACTGAAAAATACTAAGGTACTGATGCTACCTGAGAAGGAACTGAGAGAGCTATTCTGAATGTGAGATCAAAGGGTCTTTGCTGGGGCACTGAGTCATATGGTGCCGTGTCATATGACAATATACTTCATCCTAGCAAGAGCAAAAAAATCTTTAAGTTTTTCACACATAATATATTTTTGGTCTTATTCCTTCAGGTTATTGGCAAAAATATAGACCCTTACAGCAAGTACTCCCCTGACATTAATTTCTTCTAATATTCCAGAAATCTCACAAGATATGGCAAAAAGAGTCCATCTCCTGACTCATTCTGGATTACTTAAAGCTGATCATCTACCAAACAGAAACTTAGTAGCCAGCCCTATATTTCTAAGATAAAGACTCTCTCTACAGACAAAAATAAAACAAAACAAACAAATAAAAAGCCCAGTAAAATAAAACAAAAGCTCAGTGAAGGAAAGGTTCTCTGCGTTCCAAAGACGACCCAAAAGTAGTTTTACCTACAAGACCAGAAACTGCCCTGATCAGTAAAGGACCCATCTGAAGTCTACTTTATTCTGATCTTACAAATCTGTCTCTAAAACAGGGAAACCTGTCTGGGAATTTTAGGAGTTCTTTTACACAGAATTGTTCCTAGGAAGCCAATAGCAAGGAATATCCACTCCAAAATAAAAGCTGTTCATCCAAATACTCCAACTTGGAAGATTTATTCCTGCCCTCCATTTGCTTGCCCAGCACGTTTTTTGCATCCATTCTGAAGGCTGGATCTGTGATGGAGCTGAGTTTGGAGACAGTCCACAGGTAAAGAGTTGTGCTAAACCCAGTGGATGAGTCATCTTCAGGTCCTTTGAACTCCAGTTCTTTGAGGCAGAAGAAAAGATGCTCCCAAACTCTTTACAAGGTCAATAGCACTTCTGAATACTATACTCCATTATATTTTGAAAGCCCTTATTTGGAAGAACACCTACTGACATAAATAAGAGCTTCTCTCTTTAGAATTACTGCAGTTCATGCAATGGTGAACCTAAGGTTGATTGGACCAGGAAACGGAAACTTTGAATGAAAAATATCTGGAAAATAACCTATCTGTCTTTCTTAAGGAGTTTGGGAATAACAGTTTCTCAGGAGAGATGGCAAGTCATGGTCAGCTGTTTGTAGAGTTAAGCCTGAACCTTAATCACCAGCCACTTTCCTGACACAAAGGAAAAAGTTGTGCTGGAAGCAATGCTGGTGTAGCCCTGCATTTCCTCCTGCATGCTCTTTGCAGGCGCACGGGACACTGCACTTTCTCTCTTGCCTAACACTACCCTGGTGCTTAACCTTACATCTAATCCTCTCCCTCCTCTGCACGAGCAATTGAGATTGTTGGCTCACATTCAGGTTGCTGTAGACATTAAGGATATGACTAGAATTAGGGGAGAGATAGAGCCTACAGTCCAATGTACAATGGCACTTCAGGGGATATGTTAAAGGAAATGTGGGGCTATACCAACATTGCTTCCAGGTCAGATTTTTCTTCAGTCTAGGAATGAAAGTTTTGTGTTTAAGCTATATTCTCAGAATATGTATTTTTTTTTCTCATTGCATTTTATTGGCTGTTGAGAACCAGTTCTGACTCCCAGGAAGACACATAGTTTTGCATCAAAAGATGTATTAGTACACAAACAACTCTCAATTAAATATTTGTTAAGATTCTCTAAAGGAACTTCCCATAAGAACGAACTCCTCTTAAGTTTAGATACACAGGCAGTCTGATTGCCATCCTAGTTCACTGTTAAGATAGCTAATCTAGGAAAAAGATATGMAAAAAAAACCCTAATGTAAATGATGTTTTATTTTTGACAGAGAATGTCAAGGACTAAATTCTGTCTCAGTAAGTAATATTGCTAGTTTACAAGAGAGGTTATAAACTAGAATTGTCTTTTACTGACTGCTCTTCATACTACAGTGATTTCTAAACTAAAATGTGATGATCAGAGAACCATTCAGAGTATAACGGTCTTTCCTGTGACTTGGCCTTTCAATCCTTGCCTAGTGCTTGAGAGGAGTAAATTAAGTGCTACAGAATAGACTGTTACCATGCTTTCGCTTATATTTTCCTACCCTTCCTTTCATTAGCTTCCCCAGGACTCTCTGGAGCTTAAAGCTGAAACCAGAGAATTCAAGAGGCAGACTAGGAGGTCCAGATTTCCCTGTCATAACAAGGTACCAACAACAAAAGATATACTTTCCTTCCTTAATGTTTCTCTGACCATGCATGAGATCTTGCAACAGACTTCTGATGAAGCTTTTCCAGTGGTGTTTGCAGTAGAGTCCTTAAGTATTATTAACTTTGTTAGAAGGAGCACTGAAGGAGAAGCTCATGATGCAGCAGTCATCTCTAGATTACTGAATACTCTGCAGAATTGGTTTCATTAAAAGATTTGTTCTTCTTTTGTCAGGGCAAAATACACAGGGTCAGAAATCATGAGGCTCAGTAGCTGACACCATGGAGGAAATCTATCAGAAAGACGCTATGTTGGATAGGATGGGAGAAGTCAGTTAGTATTGTGGGACTAATCACAAATGCAAATCTTTACATTTTCACATCAAGAACAAGAGAGACAAATCACTCTTCCAAATTTACCTCTTCCAATTTACCTCTTCCAAATGCCCCAAGAGAGCCATGTTTACTTCTCATTCAGAATTTTTAATTTGCATCTCAATAAGCATCGCTGAGTGACCCTGCAGCAGAGAAAACACTGATCAACTTTTGAAGATGTTAACAGTCTTGCTGATAATTGCCTCACTACTGATAATTGCCTCTATCAGGTGGATAGAGAAAAGGGACTTGACCTCTTGACACAGCAGATACAGATCAAATTTTCATCAGACAAAACATAACTACAAGAGACATGTATCTGCTGCAAGCTTCAGAAAAAGTACACCGTAAAAAAGTGTTATAGATTTTTTTTGGTACTTTTCATGCCAAAAAAAGTTTAATGAACTGTAATCAAAATATTCAGCATTAGAATCATTTGTGACTTTGCTGAGCTCCAGACAACACCTATATAAGTGAGTTGTTTTGCTTCAGGACAAGTTACATCAATCAGCAGTTTCCTTGTTACATTAGAGGCCATTGGGATAATACACAACTTAAATATCATTATCTTCCATTCATAAAATTAATTCTTTCCAAGCATACCTTACAAGTTCATGTAATTTGGATGCATGAGAACATTTTGTATAATCTTCTAGAAAACCTCTCTTGTAAGCAGTAACGTTTGCATTTTGAATCTGTCCAATGAGTAGCAAGGCAGGTATTTACACGCCAAGGGGAATAAGGTTCAAAATACAGCTCCTATTAGGACCTTATTAACTGTGGAGGTGAGAAATGTAACCACAAAGAAAAGCAATGTGAACTGAGGTAATTCTCACACCTGAGCAGTGTGCATAATTGTCCTACCCAGATACCCTTAAAAAGAAGAATTAAAAAAAAAAAAAAAATGTTAAGAAGTTAACACTGGAGCCGCTCTTCAGGCTGCTGCTTAGCCGTTCTCTGCTCTCTTTTCTTCACAAAGGAGGCCTTATTCCTCTAAACTATCCTCCACTGGATAGACAAAAGGACTAGGTGTTCTCCCAGCTGCCGCACACTTCCGAGAAATCATCTCCTCTGAGATAAGATCCTTTGCTCAGGGCTCTCCAACTCTCCTAGTCCTCATTCAAGGTCACTTATATCTTGATTGCTGGAAAATTGACCTGTGAAAAACCTTTATCTAAATAATGGAGGATTATATTATACAGCATTCAATTTGCARTCACTATGGAAGAAACAGGCATGGCAATCCAAGTAAACAACATTATTACTAATCTGCTACCCACCTGTGGTTATTCCAAGGTGTTGTTTTCACAGTTTAAGAAAACTACAGGGAATAAAACGTCTTCACTTCTTTTTTCCTTTGTCTTTCCTCGTAATCCATCTAAAACATAGAAAAACAGTAGCACAGCAGATACAGATTTTGATAACTGGTTATTTGTTGTATTTTTAAGTCTATCCAAATATGTACATTTTTGGTAAGCTCCTTTTCTTATACTGTGTGTCCCCACCAAGGCAGATGAACTCTAGTACTCAGAAAGGATCCTATAGCCTCATCTGTGCTATATCCTCCACACAGCTGTGTAAGCAGCAGCCAGAATAGCTGTATTCTGCACCAAGGCAGGTGCAGGAGGTTGAGTTCAGAATAATGACCCTGTCCTTTTTGCACCTGCTAGCAAAGAGATGGTTGTAACTTTTATATGTAAAGGATAAAGTTTTAGTCTTTGAAAGTATGGTGAAAACAAGGACAGTTTAATCTCAAGCAAATGTAATAGACACTAGACCTTTACCTGAGTTTAAAAAAAAAAGTCATAAGGCCTGGACTGGATGGCATGATGTCAATTAGTGAGAGCATTTTGTGCAGCTGCTGCCCCAGTGCACTTGGCAGTACTGATGGGGGACTCTCCCAATACACCAACTTTACTATTTAGACTCCAACAGCTAAATATATAAAGGCCCCATAATTAACATACATCTTCCCTCATTCAAAGTACTGACAAATACTAGATTATTTTACAAATTTATATATTTGTAGGATTTTAGCAAAATCCCTTACAATCTCAACAGAAATAAACTTCTTGTTTTGACACTCACTAACCTCTCACCAACTCTGTCACTGTCTTCACTACAGTTCACAAAACAAATACACAATACGGCATCTGAGGCTTACAGACACAGTTATCAGATTTTCTGCAGAGTGGTTTTAAGAGGAATGCACAAATTCACATACCAAAAAATAATCTCTCGTTCTTTAAAAAATCTTCAAAAAAACTCATGCCTATAAATTTCATACATTTAACATCTCAAAAAATAAAGTATCTGTCTTTTTAAACTCCACAAGTGCTGCAGTGCACATTTTTGCTGAATCCTTGTCCTTTTGACTCTCAGAGAGATGATAGACTAGTGATGCTCATTACACCACCTGCCTCTCAGGGAAAATCTGTCACCCTGCGTGATTGCTTGGAAGCTTTATAAACATTGTTCTAGACCTGAGCCTCCATAAAACTAGAAGGACTGGGAGACAAAGCTTGAAACTTCTTCACAGTTGATTACACAAAGCATTACATGGACACCCACTAAGGTTATTTACTCACATTGCTCACAGAAATAGCTTAGAGTTCATTCCCCACCCCAGGGCTTACCACTGGCTTTAGAAACTACTGCTAAAAACCTATGCAGTCACAGCAAATTCTTACTAAAATCTCTAAAGTTTATGGGCTACTCACTTACACTAGTGTGCCAGGATTGTACAAAAACAGCTAGGCAGATCTTGCCCCACACAATGTCTCTTTTGTGTCATTCCAGAGATACCTCAGGGTTTTAACTTCCCTACCTGAGATTTCCCTTCCCAAAATAATCCTGAATAGCTGGTGAACTCAGGTGCAACTGCCACAGTGTAAGGACTAGGGGAACTCAGAAAAAGGCTGCTGTTTTCTCCACTTTCCTGAAAGTCATCCAAGAATCACAATTTATTTCTGCAGAGTGCTCCTACACTGCAGTGCAATGTAGGAGTGAGTGACTGAGGTATGAACAAATGACAAAGCAACATGTTAGCAACAGAGAAGACAAACACAGAGGTGTTAAGGGTACACTTTTAACTACTTTTGAGTACCTAGCTTCAGGAAGTCGTATTGTTACAGTCTAGTACAAACATTTGTTTGTCAGTTTACATGAATATTCCAGATTTAGAAAGGAACCAATATCAGAATAAAGGATAGAAAACAATTGTCCTGGAAGAGTTAATGTGGTTTGAGGTACATCTGCTCTTCCCCAACCATCTGTTTAATTCAGAAGTTACCACAGTCTGATATTTCATCTTCTGTAAAAATGAGGGAGGAGTCTTACAGAAAATAATTTTCTTTCTGTAAACAACCTTAAACCATCCCAGAGTATCTATCCAATACACTATAATGCACAGGAGCCTTGTAGAAAAAGGCATATATATCTAATCATATTATTGAAGACAGTCTTGTCAACAGAGAAAATTGAAAATTTCTTGGGCAATTTCAGTCTTGGCATTTCCTAAAATCTCACCAGAAGACTTTGCAATGCACGAAGTTCTTCTAAAATCTTTGTGTATGCCATGTCCTAAGATTTTTTTAATTACTTGCCATATATTATCATATAGCAGATCTTCATTAGCATGATAAGCCTCATGAAATCTGCTGCAGATATCACTTCTTCAAACTCCGTAAAAAACAGAAGATCTCTTTGGCCATAAGGAAAAAAAAAAAAAAAAAGAAAGAAAGAAAAAAAGCAAGGGGGATATTTGCCATTGCGATACTTGATAGAAGAGAAGAATGATCTTTGACTATTTCAAGTTTCATAGTACAATAGAGGAATATGGTCTATATGTTCCCTAGGTGTCCTTTTGTTATTGATGTATTTGAAGAAGACCTTCTTGTTGTCCTTGACTTCCCTTGACAAATTTAATTCTAAATTGGCCTTGACATTACTTGTCACATCCCTACATACTCTGACAAAGTTCCTATTTTTCTCCTATGTGGTCTGTCCCTGCTTCCACAAACTTCSTTCTTCTATCTTAGCTTTGCCAGTAGCAACTTGCTCATCCATGCAAGTCTCCTGCCCCCTTTGTCTGACTTCCTACTCATAGGCATGCATTGATCCTGACCTTGAATATTAACCAGCTCTCTTGGAGTCCCTTCCTTCTAGAGATTTCTCCAAGTGGATGTCTGAAGAGGCAAGAGTTTGCACACCTGAAATCCAGATTTTCCTTCATAAAGGATACTTTGGCTCTTCTTATTTCTCATTACTGCTTTATTTATTTCCCCCTAGCATCCTTCTGTCCTAAGCATTCCTACTCTAACCTTCCTCTCCAACTTTTCTTTCAAATACTGCTTCAGTTTGATCTCCATAAACCAGGTTCCATCTCTCAGTTCTTTTGCCCACTCTCAGTTCCTAGTCCTATGTTTCTCTTTCACCTCCTCAGCTACAATACCTGTCCCTGCCTATCCTCTTCAAGTCCTACTTATGTCCCTCTGAATTYACATCAGGCAGGCTCCTCCTAAAGGCAGTGGCCCTAAAGGCTTCTGGTTGACAAAGTAAGGGAGACTGTGTCCTTGMCCTTAGTTTCTTTGACTGTTTCTGCTCCTGCCTGCTGCAACTGTGCTGAAAACCCTGCTAAACCCTGAAAATATCAGGAACGGAACACACTCAGCATGTGCATCTCTCAGCACATAGACTATAAAATTACACTGAGCAAGGGTTAACCTGATTTACTTGAGAATTTATATGACCAAATTTACAGAAGACAAAAGGCAACTGCATGACACAACAGTCTCTTTTCTCTTCCATCTCCTACTCAAATCCGTTCTCTAACTCATGATGGTACCAGAGATGCTTAAAGTATTATTTAACTCTTAGTTAAAAATTCACGAACAGGAGGATACTCAAGTATTCAATGTTCTTTGGAAATGGAAGTATAACTGAGTGTGAATTTGTTTATAGAGAACTAAGTGCACTAAGGACTCAGCCTTAATGGTACTCAGTCTTCAATCTGTATATTTAAATGTGATGCTAAAATCTGAAAAGTGATAACCATAACGTTTCAGACAAGCAGAGGGAGAGATTATAATATTGACATTTTGAGGAGTAATTCAACATAATTTCATTACAGCAAGATTTTCAATCATATCTGTGCATTTTTTTCTTTATTGTTGTTTCATCTGTGCATGGTCATTGCACCTTTCTGGTTTTCTTCTGAGCCATTTCAGCAGTTGCCCTTTATAGTCAATGGAGAGGAATAAGCACTCTGTGGATTCATTTGATCTATCCTGTGTTTCTACACTCAAATGAGAGGAAGCGTGCTTACTTCTCCCCCAGGCTGTACGAAAGAAGCTGAGGATGTTTCTCTCCAATGCATAGGAGGTCCTTATCCTCTGTCTTTTTAAAACATTCAGTTACTCAAGTCTGTGTATATTTTTCACTTGCTGTGTGACAGTCAGTCATATGTGTGTATTACTTCTGGTTACTTCTGGAAAATGACTTCTGGTTGCTCAGGGCTTCTTTTTGGAATCACTCACATGCCCTCAAAACTGACAAACAGCAGCAATGGCTTGTGACTCTCCAGACAGGTAGTTTGTGCCTTCTCAGGACATTGCTCAGATCAACAGAGAGGCACAGAAAAGACTTCTATGGCTGCCAGGCCAAAAGATGATGTCTTTGGTGAGGTGAACAGTTCACCCTTCTTTCAGATGAAGTGTTATTGGAAGAATAGTTTTTCTGACCAGCTCTCCAAACCTTTTAATAGAGTGGAAACAGTCCCTAAGCACATGTCCAATTTCTTGTACTTTTTGTATTCCATATAGACCTGCATATGCCAGGCACAATCTGACCTTAAGTACATATCTCTGTAAATACACTCTGGAATAAAGTTCAATATTTGAGTTTGGAAATGAATTTGCAGGCCTGAAGCCATAAAATTTCCACTTGTAACCATCCATCTTTGAATCACTGCTTTAGTAGTACTTTTGTCTGCTTAAGAAGTTTTGAAACAAACATGCAGGCAGAAAGGGTGAAGTATTATTTGTCCCTTGGTGAATCCTCAAAGGAAATCAGACAAAGGAATAAAGTTCTGTAGCAGATGAAAAATTCCCCTACCTTTTATTTTCTCCCTGTTTGTATCTGGTTCTGTTGATACTTGAGACCTCTTATGCATTCACAACAACATTTCTCAATTTAGTGAGCATGCCATGGCAATTGATTTAGACAATGCAATAGCTGTGACAGCAATCGGGAGACACTCCAAATTTAAAAAGTAACAGGACACGCAAAATTGAAGCCTACTGACTGTTTTTGTGATAATTGAATTTCATTGAGTTTTAGCAGTGAGAAATGAGCAATAAAAGAGCTGTTTCCAGCTACAGTTCCAGGAAATGGCTAGGGCAGCATGCATCAGAAAAATATACATTGAAAATTTACATTCAGCAATCA